GCCGTCATCCCGAACACCGCCGCCGCCGCCGCCGCCGGTGGACTTCCGGCTTCCGCTCACATAAAAGTCCCAACGGCGACTAAATCACGTTACTTCAAAATAAAAGTCCAACCAAGCACACTTTTGCTTTAAGTTACTGGGTAATATCTATCCAACTAGCTCCAAACATTATACGAATTTTGTAAAACTGAGAAAGAAACTTTGCTTCATTAATTCTAGCATTGTTTAGAATTCAAGTTCTCCTTTTGTAAAAAAAAATAAAAAAATAAAAGAAAATGTGGTTTAAACTTTTTGCTGAATCATATATTTTTCTGCCATTAACCATGCTGTTGAATTTCTTTGTATTCATTAATTTTGTAACAATAAAATATTAATCAGAAATGTTTCTTGAGCAGCAAATCAGCATATTAGAATGATTTCTGAAGATCATGTGACACTGAAGACTGGAGTAATGATGCTGAAAATACAGCTGCGCATCACAGAAATAAATTACAGTTTAACAGATATTCACATAGAAAACAGCTATTATAAATTATAATAATATTTCACATTTTTACAGTATTTTTGATCAAATAAATGCAGCCTTGCTGAGCAGAAGAGACTTCTTAAAAAAAAAAACATTAAAAATCGTACTGTTTAAAAACTTTTGACTGGTAGTGTGTTTGATAAAGCTTCCAAATGGACACATGATAAACATGATGGTGATTCTTCGAGCCTTTATTGCAAACCTTCAGAACTCCGACACCAAACCATCATTTAACAGCCAACTAACACAACACAACCCTCCATTCACAGAGCATCCTCTTTTCCCTTCATCCGTCCCGTCTCCAGCCGTTCCTCTCAGAAGTCCTCCTCGGCGCAGCGGCAGCGGGACAGTCTGAGGAGCGTCAGTCTCTGCATCACCTCCTCCACGCTCTGCTCTCCGTGCACCTTGTTGTCTCTGGTTCTCACGTTCACACTGTTAGCGGCACGCTCCTTCTCGCCCACCACTGCCCAACAAACACATATCAGAGCGTGCATTCGAGAGCGGAGCGTCACACTCACTCAGACGCTCGCTGCTTACCCAGGATGAAGTTGTACTGCGCCAGCTGCGCGCTGCGGATCTTCTTGTTCAGAAGACAACCAGAGTCCAAATCAGCATCGGCCATAAAACCAGCTTCAACAAACCGCTCACAGACCTGGAACGGGAGGAAGAGCAAGCAAGGTATTCTCACGAAACATGAGCTTGAGCTCAATAATGACACTACTGTCTTTTCAGAGCTGCTTGACCCGCAGAATCCACATTTGTCTCATATTTGTGACCCTGGACCACAAAACCAGTCATAAGGGTCAATTTTTTTAAATATTTGGCTGAGATACAACTATTTGAAAATCTGGAATCTGAGGGTGCAAAAAAATCTAAATATTGAGAAAATCATCTTTAAAGTTGTCCAAATGAAGTTCTTAGCAATGCATATTACTAATCAAAAATTAAGTTTTGATATATTTACGGTAGGAAATTTACTAAATATCTTCATGGAACATTATCTTTACTTAATATCCTAATGATTTTTGGCATAAAAGAAAAATGTATAATTTTGACCCATACACTGTATTGTTGGCTATTGCTACAAATATACCCCAGCGACTTAACACTGCTTTTGTGCTCCAGGCTCACAGATATAAAAAGTCAAGATTGATTCTTACTTTGATTGACTTTTATGATATTAAGTTTTGTTTTCCACTAAATGTATTGAAATGAAATTCATGGGTTTTCCCCTCAGAATTAAGGTGATTTTTCTGACCCCACTGGTGGATATTTATTTTAAGCCTAAACTCACTTCATTTTGATCAGTTTCTCAGAAAAGAAGACTAATTTAGCTTCTCATGGTTTAGGAATGTTCAGATATTGTACTGGAATAGACAGACATGCTCACCTCACTCCGGAGCTCCATCTGCTGCTTCACAAACTCGTTCTGCGGCGTCTCTGTCATCAGCGAGAACAAACTACTGCCCATCACAGACGCCCGGCCCTGCCTGTACTTCAGCTGATCACACAACACACACACACTCACATTATCAATCAACACACACTGGAAGAGATGCGTTCTGCAGAACAGGAGCGTGTCAGTGTTACCTCACTCTGGATGTGAGCGGCGTCTCGAGCGTGTTGAGTTTCTGGAGTCTCTGAGAGCTGATGGTACAGAGATCTGCTCATCTGCTGCTTACTGGCCTCCTTATACTTCACCTGAGCACACACACACACACACACACATCATCATCGGTCCGAGTGTCCGTCAGACGTGTGATCTGATCACGCACCTGACTCTGCAGCTCAGAGACGCTCCTGTTGAACTCAGTCTCTGGAGTTTCAGGAAGCTGGGAGTAAATGCAGCTGCTGATGCTCTTCCTGCTCTGCTCGCGGTATTTATTCTACACACACACACAGAGATGTCACACACTTCAACCGCCAGTGTAAACCTGCTCTGATCTTCATGTGTCTGATTCACCTCGCTGATGGTCTCTGTGATCTCTCGAGCGGACTCGATCTCCGGCGTGTCGGCCAGCGTGGAGAACAGAGAGCTGGACACACTCGTCTGACCCTCCTTATACATCACCTGATACAACAGACACACCATCACCACAAACCACTGACCACACCACCGTCTACTGTTTCTGAAAGAGTCTCTTCTGCTCACCAAGCCTGCATTTATTTGATCAAAAATACAGCAAAAATTTGATATATTATTATAATTCTAAATAACTGTGTTCTATGTGAATATCTGTTAAACTGTAATTTATTTCTGTGATGCGCAGCTGTATTTTCAGCATCATTACTCCAGTCTTCAGTGTCACATGATCTTCAGAAATCATTCTAATATGCTGATTTGCTGCTCAAGAAACATTTCTGATTATTATCAATGTTGAACACAGTTGTGCTGCACAATATTTTTGTGGAAACTGTGATGCATTTTATTTTTCAGGATTCACAGATGAACAGAAAGTTCAAAAGAACAGCATTTATTTGAAATAGAAATCTTCTGTAACATTATAAATGTCTTTACTGTCACTTTTGATGAATTCAATGCGTCCTCGATGAATAAAAGTGTTAATTTCTGTATTTTTGCACCTGGCTCTGTAGCTGGTGCGCTTCTTTAGCGTGTTGAGTCTCCAGGGTTTCAGGCAGTTGTGAGTACAGACATGTGGAAGCGTTTTTTCTGCCAGCTTCTTTGTATTTATTCTGTCAGACAATGAGAGCAGGTGTAAGAGCGCGGTCACATGACATCAGACAGGTGAACATGAGTGATGCGTGTGCGTTACGTCGCTCTGCAGATCCGTCATGCGTTTGGCGTGTTGCGTGTCAGTCGTGTCGGGCAGCTGAGAGTACAGACTACACGACAGCTTCTTCCTCCCGTCCTCTTTATATCTGACCTGAAACATCACCACCATCATCATCATGTGACTGGCGTGTGTGTGTGTGTCTGTGTGTGTGTGTGTG